GGGGAGGGGGTGAGGGGGGTAGGTGGGGGTGGAGCATAGAGGAGAGGGGGTGGCGGTGATGAGGGTGCAGGGACCCAGACCTGGGCGCAGCGCCGGACTCTGCATCTGAGCTTCTGGAAATCGCTGAAAGTTGTAAGTAGCAATGAGCAGGGTTTCCGTGTAGGTGTAGACAGCGCTTTCCTGCAGAACAATCAGGGCCAGGACAGTCAGCGTGCTGACTAAGCGCAATACTGTACAAGCTGCGTAGATTATTCCGTTTAAACCTAGGCACCCCAAATACGGTATTTGTTATCATTATTATCACGTCAATCTTATGATACCAAAACTAAATTAGGGTAACAAACTAGTTTACTATCAAGCAATGCAGAAGAGTGGGATGTGTGTTTTATCCTAGAATACTCCATTTTTTGCCACAAAGCATGAGCCTCAAGAGCAGGAACCAGGCAGGGAAACCAACGCAAAAGAAGAAGGGTTATTCCACTGCCCGGGCCAAGGATTGATCAGGTCAGGTGTAGCAGAGGGGAAGGACAGAGGAGTGCAAGCTTCCAGAACTGTAATGCAGACGTGGGAAAGTTGGAAGGGTCTGCCACTGGGGATGACTGGAGGTGCCTAAAGAGCTGTAGGAATATTTACACATGTGTGGAGCTTGACATTCTGCCATTTCTTTTATTATTTTATTTTATTTTATTTATTTTCTCACTGGAGCCTCTCAACAACCTTAAACACTGGGGCCCTTTCTTCTGGGGAGGAATGTTTCTGATCAGGTTCCTTCATTTCCTTAAAAGGTTGTCAGCTCTACCTCTTTTGAATTGGTCTAGATCTGGTTTTCCTGCGGAAAAGAGAACATGCATGTATATTTCAGGTCCCTGCGGAAACATAGAACCTTGCCATGCTGCTCAGCTCTTTGTAAAAGCCACATTGTAGAAAACAAGAGCAGGGAGGTTTACTTCATTCATTTGCTCCTTCATTTATTCCTCAGATATGTACGGACCACCTATTAGGTGCCAGACACTGCTGAGAGCTGGAGGTACAACGGTGCCCCAGGAAGCTTGCTTGCAGCCCTTTCCACGTGGAAATTGCCTCTGATCCGTCTAGCAGAGGGTGCAGACTGTCAGCCTGCTGGCCAAATTATATCTATAAAAGCCACACTGGGTCTGGTGTTCACGGTGTGTGTTTGTTTAACGTCTGTAGATTTTATTGGGATGCACATTTTCCAGTGGCTCATAAATCATCCGTTGGGAATAGCAACCAGCATTTTATTAGCAGGGGCTTCTGAAGAGCCAGGATTTTATTCTTGGATTGAGCAGGACTATCTGTGACTGTGTATGCTTGAATGCTGTCGTTTAGCATGGCCCAGCTACAACAATTTCACGGAAATTTGCTTTGAAACTACTCCTTCCATTTACATTACAGAACACTACAATCAGACATAAGATATTCACTATGGGACCAGCAGATGGTGTAATGGTTAAGTGGGTGGACTTGCACGTAGTCGACTGTGGTTCGAGTCCCAGATCCGATGGCTTAAACTCACACTGGTCACGGTGTGCGTGTATGCTCAAGATCCTGAGAGGAAAATGGAGGAGACAGGATTACGGCCTGGCCATCCCCTCTGGGGGGTGATTTCTCACTTTCTGTCTCTCTCTCTCTTTCCAGTGAGTGCATGCACCTTAGCATAATGGCTATGTCACTGGACTCCCATGCAGTTGACTGCGGTTCGAGTCCTAGACCTGGCGGCTTAAACTCACGCCGGACGCGTGTGCGTGTGTGCCCAAGATCCCAAGAGGAGAATGGAGGAGAAGGGATTGGGGCGTGGCCAGCCATTGTGGCGTGGCCATCCCCCCTGGGGGGTGATTTCTTGCTTTCTGTCTCTATGTCTGTCTCTCTGTCTTTCTAGCGAGCACATGCACCCTATAGCGAAAACCTCTCAAAAAAAATTAAAAAAAAAAGGATATTCCCTATTGCACGTGTTCTGGGGACACTATTGAAGATGGAGTCCCCTGTATCACCCAGCAGTTTATATATGAGAACCTGCGAAGGAAAACAGTTCCCAGAACGTAGTACTCTAAAAACTGTCCCATTTCCTGAAGAGCTTGTATGTCACAGGCCATGGAAATCACAAAATTCATTAATTTCCTATTTGACTTGGCCACTAGGGATATTAGAATCATATACACAACTCAGTTGTAATCATTATGTAAGATGCTAATTTTGATATGTAACATTTCTTCCTAAGACCTTAGAATTCTAAATTTAATTTTCCTTTGTCACTCTTGAAAGTAATGGGAAATAAATAATTAAAAGAAATAATGAAAAGAAATGAGAAAGTAATTGAAATTTTAAAAAAAAGTGGCCAGATCAGAATTTTTAAATTGTTATGGTTTTTTTCCCCCCACATAACGATCTTCAAAGTTCTTTTCAACTTTCGCTTATGGTACTTGTTGACTATCAGTCTCGTGTCGGTATTTAATTAAGACCTTTTCCCTTTATGCTCAAGCGCCGCATTTTTAGTTATGCCTTTGATAAGCCTTAGTCCTATTTTATTTGGCTAATAACCCTTAGGGGAAAACAGTCAAACTCTAAAAAGTAGTATCCAACTGGGACCAGCAGTTAGTGTAATGGCTATGTCACTGGACTCCCACATAGTCAACCGCGGTTCGCGTCCCGGACCCAGTGACTTAAAAATCCCGCCGGGCGCGTGTGCATGAGTGCCCAAGATCCAGAGAGGAGAATGGAGGAAAAGGGATTGTGGTGTGGCCATCCCCCCCTGGGGAGTGATTTCTCGCTTCCTGTCTCTGTCTGTTTGGCGAGCACAAACGCCCTATAGCGAAAAACCTCTCCAAAAAAAAAAAAAAAGTAGCATCCAACGAGGATGGAAATGGCTCAAAGTCAAAAAAGTTCACCTGTGTCCTTCATGTTCCTCTCCACGGCAGTTACCAACAGGAAAACCTCGTAGAGATTTTATTTCTTTACAATAACAGCAACAATCTTCTGGGACTTTCATATTTTTATTTATTTCCTCCCCCGTTGCTCCCTCTCTTCTTCTGTAACTCTTATTAGACGTTCTAGAATTCTCTACAGTGCCTCTTCATTTTGTCTTTTGCAATGCCATCTTGATAATTATTTGGTTCCATTATTTGGCTCAATAATACAGTTCTTAATTGTGTTATTCAGTTAATCTATGGATTTTTCTTTTGCAATTTGCAATTATATTCCAGTGTCACAGAACCTCAGTTAATGCACAGATCTTTATAGGACGTTCATACTGTGGAAGGACATAGGTAAGAACTCCGCACGTGGGAAATGCATTGTCTGCGTGGCTTGGAGGACTTGGCATTGTAAAAATGTGAGTTCTACACAGTACAAGGAATATCATCCACCTTGATCAAAATTCCTACAGTTTAAATGGAAACTGTAAAGAACTATTTTAAAATTCAAATGCAGGAGTAAGGGGTTAAAAGAAAGTCAAGAAAATTTGGAAGGAGAAAAAAAGAAGGAGACTATGGGGGAACTTCTGTCTGAGATATCAAGACTTACTTCTGAGCTATAGAAATTTAAACAGTTTGTGTTTGGTCTGGGATTTGTTTAGAGACAGGAAAAACAATGCAAACGAACAAGAACAGAGAACTGGTCTTCTATCTTTAGAAAAATTGGGAAATAAATAAATGCAATCAGGCTGCAAGATAATTCATTGTCCTTCAGGATAAAATGCTCTTTACCTCATTATATGCACAAAAATGTATGCTATGTGAATATATAATTTCAATATACATACTCAAAAATTTAATATTTTAGAAAAATTGTATAAGAGAATATCATTATGGGTTCAGTATAAGGAAACATTTACAGATTCATATATATATATGTATGTATATATATATATATATACACATACATATATAT